TCTCAAAGTGTTTTGAAAAGATTAAGCGTAGCCTACTGCATATTATTATTATTAATCTTTAAAATCGTTACTATTGTAGTGACACCACTCAAAATTAAATGTTCTTTTATTTAGTGGATTATTTTAAAGTCTTTATTTGTTACTTTTCTTTTAGATACTTGCTTATATTCTGACCTGACTGAGGTATGGTCAGGTGTCTTATATAACTAATAATTTAATGCTAACTTAAGCAAATAATATAATTAAAATAGGTTATTGCTAGAATTACGAGTAATATGGGTTACAACTAAATTAGGCTATCTTAACTAGGTTAGGTGTCACATTTGAAATGTAATAAAATGTAAACTTAGCAATAACTTGTAAAAGCGGTAGAGTGCGACAGATCGATAATGCTACGAAAATATAATAAATTCTCTGTTTTAATATAACTTAAATTAATTTTTTATATAATAATTTAAATTGAGCACCAAAGAAGCTTTGCAAGAGGAAATATAAGTAGCTATTGGGGCGTTTGTGGATTTAACAAGTAATGTGGATAGCGTTTGTGGATATAACAAGTGTTGTGGATGACATTTGTGGACATAAGTATTGTGGATGGCATTTTCACCAGAATTTATGCAGACATTGTAGAGTTTTTTTGTAAACAGTGTAAAAGAAAAAAACCGCTAACGAATTTCAGAGAGAACTCAAAGCAAGTGTTTTGACAAGTGAAAAATTAGCAAAAAGCAAAGCATAAAGCTTCTTACAAGTGTGTTTTTTGTGTGCAAATTATTATTATTATTATTATTATTATAAACTTAGTCAGAGAATAAATTCTAAGACTAAAGTCTTAAAGCACTAGCATCTAAGGCTTTCGGCTTTATTAAAAACTCTACCGCACTTGAGATTTGAACCCACGACCATTGAGTTGGTAGTCAAGACTCTTGCCTACTCGGCCACTCAGGCGGATGTGTGTGCAAATTAAAAAAAAATAAAGCAAAGAAAACGAATGTCCTAGAATTTGCCATTTTTGCTTGAAAATTTTAAAATATGGCAATCCAATCATCTATTCATGATCCAATTTGATAATATAACTGTGTATATTTCGAGTTTTCATAGGGGGATTTAGGACTCAAATCAAGCAGAAATGCAATGATTGAAACCAAAAAATGTTTGTATTGTATTGTATTGTATGTTTGTATTTGCTGATGTAAGCAAAGCAATTCGTAACCGTAAACATTTTCTGATTAGCTATCACAGTAAATTTTTTGAAAACGCTGTTACCCAAGACTTACTCAAAGGAAAATTTTTTTGGTAACACGCTCAATGTTCGTGTGCAACGACTTATATAACGAGCAGCTGTTTTTTTAAAAACAGCTTCTTGTGTATATATATTTGCTTTAAGAGAAGTATCGTATGAGTTTTATTACTGTAAACGTAGTGCTGATAAGAACAACCATGTGGCTGACGAAATAACACAAAAATAATTAACAAACTTAAAATGTTTTTATATATATTATAAAAATAAAAAGTATATAGACTGATTTTGGATCTGCAAATATATTAAACAAATATTCTAAGTAATTATCAATTCTTTTAAGTCCTATTAATAACGTGTTGTGAGTTGCACAAATTTTGGCCATTTTTTTACTTGAAAAAGGCATTAATTGTGGAAAATTCGTACATTATGTAGTATATGTCTTCCCATTCGAGCTGTAACAGTGTATCCTGCACAACTTTTACAAAACGTGGCAACAAAATGGAATTTTCAGTCAATTCGTGTCGCCACTTTTAAACGGTTAAAACCAAAACCGACAATTGGAATATAATGGAGCAGCACCATCATAAGCATCTGAACGTGTATGGTGGGCTTCGACAACAGATTTCTTCCAATTAACAATAAAAGTAATAAATTTGGAAGAAGAAGACATTGTAGCGTTCCATAATAAGCGTCTTCGTGCGCTGACTAAATCACTAATATTAAATGGAAAACTGTTTTTTTTATATAGGGAATGGTCAAAGTCGTGGTATTGCCCATTTGTTTAACATTGTTACTTGAAAAAATCGCTGGTTCCAATTTTTACTACTGTCTAATATTTGATGCTCTTCTCCATATGTTTACCAAAATAATTTTGTGTCCCTCTTATTCAAAAAGCCTATTAAAACAACCTAAGCAAATTATATGTTTTAGAAATGTTAATAATTTGAGATTTGATTAAACGAGCCCGTTAAAAAATGTGCTTGTCATAAACTTTCAGTTTAAATTCAAATATCGTCGACGGTCCTTAGTACCTGATAATTTAATCCCTTATTATTGAATTGCATAGGGTTGCCACAGCTCTGTTGCGGAGAGATACGTTTAATTTGTTCAATAGTCCTTCGGTATTCTTTTTCACCAAACAACAATTTTTTTTGTATATTTTTTTAAAATTTTTTCCATCAAACAATGATAATTTTTATTATTTAATTGTTATATATTTTTTCCTTTTTTTTAATTTTTTTTTTTTTTGCTTAGCAATCTTAGTTTTTTGCACATTTTCAGTACAATTGTATTAATTCTCCAACATTTGCTCCTTTTGGAAAAAAAATCAGATAGTTGATTTTTATTTACAAGTGACAACCGAAAGTCGAAATAGCATCTACAAACGGTACACTTTCATGAATTATGATCAAAATACCATCCACAAAAGGACAAAACAGCATGTTAAATCGTAAAAACAGAGATGTTAAACTAGGCGCAGTACAATAAAAACCAAGCACGCAATTAAAAGTTAAAAATGACATGTATTAAGACTTTTTTTTCAGAGTGACCCAAACAAGCGAAACAATTTACCAAACGTAAGTTTATGTGCTTTCAGTTAACGGCGGCGGTAGTACCAGATGAACACAGTTTTGATTTTGTTATTGAAGCGGGTGCTCTAATTTTAGCGGACAACGGCATATGTTGTATTGATAAATTCGATAAAATGGATTCCCGCGACCACGTAGCTAGTTACGAAGCTATTTTATTGCAAGTCCGTCGCTTCTTCTCCCCCTGCTACCCTATCTCCCACTTGTGTCACCTGTTCTTGCACGTCGAATCCCAGAAAACCTGCCTCCTTCTCGCTGTTAGTCTCCATACATACATACGTACCTAACGTAGTCTGCCATTCTCGTCTTACCGCCCCACAGGCACTAACTCACCAATTTCCTCCGTCGGTCGGTAGGCTAACTTCCTACACAGTACCCTGCATAAACGACGTCCACTGCTACTACTCCACAAGTCGGGAAGTTCTTTAAGTAATTGACTAAATACTCTGTCTGAAATTTTTACAATGGTATTATTCTTAATATCCATAATACATGTATATAAATAATATTATAACAGTAATGTAATGTAATGATAATATAAATATTATAATATAATAAATAATAAGTCGGGAACCTGAAAATAAATGGAATACAAAATAGACCAATTATACAAAAAAATGCAAATTATTAAATTGTTAACATGTGTGAAGAAAAAATTAAAATAATCAATTGTCAAATGAAATATAAATGAAACAACGAACTTTTTTTATTTCAATTTATTTACGTAAAAATTTTACATTTTTCACATTTGAAATTAATAATAATTCAAAGTGATAAAAAAAAAAATAAAATGTAAATTTCAAATTAATAATAACTAGAACTACATACTAACTCTTATGAACTAGATGCTGCCAGCTCCATCTTTTTAATGTTTCAGATGTTTCTTAAATTTTTTGGAAACTTTTTTCTTAATTTAAAACACTGTGAACTGTTTTGTAGAGCTCTCATCAACCTCCACAAAACTGTTCTGCTTTAAAAGGAACCATCAACCTCCCTTCCCTTTAAAGCCAACGTATAAATACAGGTTTCTATTTTAGAAGCAGTAAATTTTATTACCACTGTAATTAACATACGAGTTACTAGAATTTTATTTGATCGAATAATTTTATTTGTGTGATCAGTAATTAACGCATTATTACTACTTTTACCACTACCTGTTTTAGCCGGAGATATTACTATATTATTAACAGATCGAAATTTGAATACATAATTTTTTGATCTTGGTTTTGATCTTGCTGCAGGTGGCAATTTCTTACCAACATTTATTTTGATTTTTTGGTCATCCTGAAGTTTACATTTTAATTCTACCTGGTTTTGGTATAATTTCTCATATTATTGTCAAGAGTTAGGAAAAAAGGAAACTTTTGGTTCATTAAGGATAATTTATGCCATACTAGCAGTTGGGTCATTAGGCTTTATTGTTTGAGCTGTAAATCATATATATATACAAATACATTTAGTTGAAAAAGACAAAATAATAGCTACGATAAACAATGAAATTTTACTTTTCAGAGCTCTGAAGAAAAAAAACTTATGTGTTTTGAATCCTTTGGTATCCATGTTATTCTATAATCTATGCAAAATAAACTAATCGAGCTTTGAAAAATATTTTATAATTAACTACAATTAATATTTTGGCGAGACATTCAGAAGAAAATGTTTTTTCTTTCTTGCTTGGAGGTTTTTTCCCTTTTTAGTCAATTTTCTTCTCTCTTTTATATGATTCTAATTAGAAAGCTGGTTAAATTTCTCATTTCGTCGATCAGAGTCCACGAAAATTGTCTAAATTGTCTTATGCTTAACATGCATGTATCCATACCTAACTATGTCATATATGTTTTTAATAAAGGACATTTTAAAAAGCTAGTTTTAGTGGCCAAACAAGAATTTCGATATAAAAAGCTCATTATGTTCAAATTCTTTTGTAAAATTAGTTAGTGTACAATGTAATTCGGGATGAATAAAGAATTTATCGACCAACGTTTGTTTAAATCTTAAACATCCTGCACTAGTGTCGATTAATGATATTCATGCAGAGTCGCGGGTACAGAACATTAAACTTTCATCAACAATTAGCTTTAAGAGGCGTTCCTTGATTTGGGCGCACCTACACCAATTATTTATTAATGAAAATTTTATTTTTTTTTAGTGAAACATGAAAGGAAAGAGAGAAGTGGGGCCCGGCATCGCTGCCGCAATCTCAACGCCGATCAGCGTCGAGGTCTACATGAGCGCCTAGGCAGACGCCCCCCACGACCAGTCAGGTGTAGATGAGCGACAAGACATACAGGCAAATCCATTATTATCGCCAATCTCTTTACAGTTCGCTGAGGTTCGTAATTCCCAATAGTTGCTGAGATGGATGGCAAATAATTCGACACCTCATAGTGCGTGTATGGGGCCCGTTCGAAATCCATAACTATGGACCAGACAATGCAATATACAAATGCTCAGAAGCACTTGTTGCAGAAAAATCCTTTGACGTATCTTTCTAACGAAGTAAACAAAACTGATAGTTAATATTAATACGTGTAAAGCTTAAGAGCAACCGTCTACAAAGAGAAATCGCAGAAATCGTTTGTGTTGTATGGTTTTTCTTTTTGCCATCTGAAAATAAGAGAACTCAATAAATTTTAATTTTCTGCGGTATCAATAAAAGTAACTAAAGAAGTGAGAGAATTTGACTTAAGGTGAACAGTTTTTTTCTTATATAGGTAGTTTCTTACTTTTAACTGAATTCTAAACAAATACTCCATGCTTTTCCCCAACGCGTAGTGTTGCCTTGATGAAATTCAGTGGAACAAAAGTTTTGAATTTTATTCTCTATAAGAATGTCCAGCACTTTCGATATACTACTTTTATGTCCCAGCATAGTAGTGAAGATTCTGAAAAATTAATTTGATTATTAAGACCATCTTCGTGTTCGTGTATACATATATACATAAACACAAACCTGATTTCTTTGGCATACACTAAACTTTCTGTTATAATTTTTTCAACAAATTTCACTCCACCTCCTTCACAAAATAACGCCTCCGTAAAGCCTATTGGGCAATTATGTGGTGGTGGTCGCTTCTGTGGATTTCGTGTAAATTTTAGTAAATTTGATAACATTTAATAATCAACTTGTATGGCAAGACTGTAATTATTTTCTGCTTTTTTTTTGGCCACTAACATTACTTAAAAGTTGATAAATAATTTTTAAATTTCAAATAAGTCGTTTTTATTTCTTCTTCTACCTTTTTTTATTTGCCTCTCGTAAAAAGTAAAGCCATCTTTCGGGATCGTCAGCCTGATTGTGTTTGTTTACATTGTTTTCAACGTTTGGTTCAAGTGTTATTCCCAGATCCAAAAACGAGATGAAGCCTCATTGTGTCAGCCCCTACACCCTATACCCCATCACGTCATCCCCTTATAAACTTCTGCTCAGTTTTTATTTTTAGTTTAGTACCTCGTACTCGCTCAAATTTACTATCTATTATTTATATACACCTATGCCAAAAAATATTAAGTGAGCCTAAAATTAGACCCCCATCATTTTTAAACAAAGCCCTCGCTTAATTCCCTGTTAAAAGGCAAAGTACAGAGTTTCTTGTAAAAAATAGTCTAAAAATGGCAGCTCTGTTAAATGGCTAAAAATCCAACTTAACAACTTAACTTAACAACTTAAATGGTAACCCCATTCAGTCTGTCGTGACCCCATCAATTCTATGTTTGCGTTGCTAACGCTCCTTTGTCATAACTAGTTTTCTAGTTTGGACAAATACCGTTGCCAAGTAATAAAAAATATAAAATTGGGTGACTTTTGCCGACGGCTTTACAATTAACATAGAGTATTTCGTTCTTTTTGTAATTTAGCATAGACTATTACGTTCGTTCCGTAAATTAGCAGAAAATTTAGCTACTGTTTTGTTTAATTTGATAATAAAAAAAAAATTATGGCGGTCTACTATTAGGCTAACTTGTAAAATTATTACTATTATTATTATAAATTTAGCCAGAGAATAAATTCTAAGATAGCGTCAAAAGGAATTTTGTCCAACTTAACCAACAACAAAGGTCCAACTGTTAAATTAATTTATTGGAAAAATATTTTAAAAGAAAATTTTATAACTACCACATCCTATGAAGATAGTAATTCGGAATTGGGCGTAAGTAGAAAAATAAGAGTTTAAAGCAAATGAAATAATGGAAATAAGTTTAAGATGCACTATTTTATCAGGAATGGTTAGATGAAGATGGAAACACGGTTAAACGTGAACAAACTGCGGCTTTAGAAGTAAAAGTGATAGAATGTTGGGCAACGTTAAACCGCCGCAAAAATCAAATCCTTTTATTGAATTTGACGATAACAATGTCAGAATGCAACTGTGAGACACGGTACAGCATTCATGGTGGCTTGCTGATCGTAACAGTCAGTGTCAAGGGTTTGTCCAAATATCTGGGAACGCCAACTTGGCAATGTCGTTGCTGCTGGCCTCAATTAAGGTATTCTGTGAAATCATAGATACTTGGTGGTCGGAAGGACGGTTAGATGATTGGCAACAAGAATACATCGTAGAAAGGTAACAATCTCTGCTTATTTAAACTCAGTTTTACTCTTTTTATTCGTATTTAGAATTAGTGACGTGGATCAGTCGGTATGCATGCGTAAATACCGTAAAAATAAACCTAAATTATTTTTTGTGCCATCACAAGTTACAAAAAGTATCCTTGAAAATAACCTATTCTTATTAATGCACGAACATTCTTTGGAAGCAGGACGTACACTTAATTTGCTTTACGAAATTAATCGCATTGGAAATATGCGCAATGCTTGCGACGCTGTTGAAGGAAAGTTATATAATACATTTAAAAAGGATTTCTTGCAACAGGTCCAAACTATGCAAAATGAAATTAAAATTCAATCGCGACCATCATCACCAAAACATGCCGATGATGACAGTGAATGTTACACAACCGCACTTCAGATATTAAAATGAAAAAGAACAGCGTTTTAAGTAATTTAACAACAAATGATGAATAATTTTTGCTTATGTCGTTTGCTTTAAATAGCAATGAAACAGAAGCACCGAGAGTAATGCCAAATAAAACACCGAATGCTTTGGATATATTTAAACAATTACAAAGATCTTTGTGCTGTTTGCCCTTACAAGAATTACTAATTAAAACTTTAACTCAGATTCTAAACCGCCGGATTGAACTTGCATATTTGTTTGTTATGAAATTGTATCGAGATGAGTTTATTATCTTAACGCATTTGCAAAAATTACGTAAGGTTTTGCTAGGCATTTAGGTACTATGTCTTCAACTATACCTAATGATTTTGCAATTTGCATTTTTCATTTTCTCTTTTAACAGATATAAAGCTCTTTTAACGATTGAATTAACTTAATATCTCATGCTAATATAAATGCTTTGATGCGTATAACAACTGAATCGACTTAAAATAGCATGCTACTCGAAAGATTTTATCACATCTCCTATTGCACGGCAAGCGACATATGTTATATGTGGTTGTTGTTGTAAATCTGGTACCATATGTGATTATTGCCGTAAAAGTAAGACTGCATCTGTTTTGTTGTTGTAAATGCAAGACCACACACACCTGTACTCCATTATTTATTTATTTTCATCATTATTTTTACTATTTCTAAATTTATAGTTTATTCATCTAGTTTTTTTAAGTTACATTTCAATATTAAAATACAATTTTAAGTTACATATAAATCGGAACGCTTCTGCTGTGATTTGGAATTTTTTGTTCGATTCATCATCTACATAGGTTTGACTTGGCATACTGATAACTGAAGCCATTGTTTTTTTCTATGTAAATGGCAAAAGACAGCCTCAGCTTAATCGATCCAAAGAATATGTGAACTAAAACAGAAAAGTACAAGGAAAAGTTCGGTCGTGACTGAATCTTTCATACTCATTACCGTTATTTTAAAAAAGACTGAAAAAAAGGAAAAGAACTTAACGTTCATACTCCATAGCATTGAGTAGGCGCGGCTTATTTTTTCCATTTTCAAAGTAAAAGTGGAAACTTATACGATATGTGTATTGTTCTTTATGAGTAATATGTCATGCGCTTTTGGTCTACGTGATGATACCATCTTCTACCTTAGTCTACAAATAATATAACGCAACCACTAGGCTTTTGCTATTGGAGGCCAGCGATGTTATGTATCAATTTTATAGCAGGGTATTCAAGCAGGTTAACGCGCCGTTGTAAGATTCCTTTATATTTTTTAAGTAAGTTTATAACACAGATTGAATTAGGTGTTCCTTGGGCTGACCCAGAGCTAAATCAAGTCAGCGATGCAACTTTGCAACTTTGCTTAATGCGGCTGCTATTGTCGATTATATCAGTAACTGCCTGCCAATATTTTAATGAACTCACAAACTTATATGAAGCCAAGCCAAATAACACATACGTGCTATATGTCCTCCACGAAATCAACAAATATTACGTTGAGGAACGCGAACTTGCTTCCAGTGCAAATGGAAACAATTGATGCACAACCCCCAACCCAAGATGAAATAAAAACAATCGCTAAAAAAACGAAATTGAGTTTTTCTATTGAGGCGATTATTGGAAACTGTTAAGAATCGATGTGTTTTTTAATTCAAATCTTTAGAATGTGATATATATCAAGTAGAAATATTTTAATATTAAATCTCAAGTAAAAATCTTAAATAAGGATTCGCACGTTTATGCACACACAATGCAATTTGCAAAATTTAATACTTTTGCTACTTTGCAAAGCCGTCGGCAAAAGTCCCCCAATTTTAACACTATTTATTATTATTTATTATTAGTTCTTCTTTCTACAGCGCGGTGCACCGTAGTATCAAACAGAAATATAACAATTTGATATAAAAATGTTCTTATACATCTAGAGGAGATGATAGAAGAGCAAAAGCGACCAAGTCAAGGAATAAGAATCAAAAACAATCAGGAAACCATTAAAGAGAATAACAATTTCTTTTATATATATTTTTATATATTAGTTTGGGGAAAAAGAAATCCATTATTTTTATATGAACTTCAGCACTTTATTTAACATGCTTCGGATTGTCCGATTTGGGTCAAATATGCACCGTTTTGTTGTATGATTTGTTGCCATTGTAAAGGTAACTTCAAAATGCCTCTCTCATAGAAGTCCTGGTCTCTATTTGCAAAAAACTCTAGTAGTCGATTTTCACAATCCTCCCTAGATTCCAATTTTTTATCATTAAAGAAATTTTGCAAGTGCCAAGTCCGGACTGTATGGCGGATGCATTAAAACTTCCCAACCAAGCTCCCGAAGTTTCTGGCGAGTCGCTGTAGATGTATGTGGCCTAGCGTTGTCCTGATGGTACACGACACCTCTCCTGTTGGCCAATTCTGGCCGTTTCTGGTCAATCGCTATCTTCAAACGGTCCAGTTGTTGACAGTAGAGATCAGAATTTAGCGTTTGGCTATATGGAAGCAACTCATAATAAATAATCTGCTTCCAGTTTCACCAAATGCATAGCAAAACCTTCCTGGCCGTTTGAGGTGCTTCACCGCTCTTTGACCACGATCGTTTTCGCACAGGGTTATCGTATGTGATCCATTTCTCATCTCCAGTCATCATCGGTTTAAGAAATGGGTCTATCTCATTCCGTTTGGCCAAGGCTGCGCAGATGGAAATTCGATCCATCATGTTTTTTTCTGTTAATCGGTGTGGCACCCAAACCTCGAGCTTCTTTTTGGATCCAGCTTTGTGTAAATGGTTTAAAACTGTTTTATGGTCGATTTTTAGCTCCTGGGCGATGTTACGACTGCTAACATGCCGGTCAACTTCGATCATTTCTCCGATTTTATCGACATTTTCGACGACCGGCCTACCTGTGCGAGGTGCATCTTTAACATCAAAAATTCCTGAACGGAATCTACGAAACCAAAATTGCACATAATTGGCTGCTACAGTATCGGAACCATAAACACCATTCACAATTTTAGCCGCCTGGCTTGCATTTTCGCCTTTGTCAAAGAAAAACTGTAAAATGTACCGAATTTTCTCTTTGTTCACTTCTATTTTTAACACGCTGTAACTCACAACTGAATGCACCAAACAAAAAACAGCAGAAGAATTTTTTTACTGCGAAATGTCACCTTTCCAACGAGCATAAATCTGAAATTTTTTGATCGATACTTTACGAAAAATCTATCAGTGCAGCCATCTACCGAAAAAATAATGGATTTCTTTTTCCCCAAACTAATATATTGTATGTATACATTTAGAAACGGGACCTGAACATTCATCACTAGTGAATGAAATTTTCAAAGTACATACACATGCCTATAAGTATGTCTCCTTTGAGGCGATATACACAAACTTATGAGTAGTGCACGTTATGGCATATAATTAAAACCTTTGGTCAACCTTTTATATGCACAACAGATCCTTCAGGGTGTTGTTCAACTTTACCACCTCGGATGAATTCCCCGTTTTATCTGGCATACCTCAAGGCAGCCACTTAGGTCCCATTTTATTTAGTTTATGCAGTAATGATCTTCCATCGGTAGTTAATTTCAGCCAGATCTTAATGTATGTGGATGATGTGAAATTGTTTTTCTCCTTCTCTGTGGAATAGCAATCATGTCAGCTTTAAGGTGACTTGGATAATTTTGTTGCATGGTGCTCTCTGAATCTTCTGAAACTAAATCTGAGTAAATGTAAGAAGCTTTCATTCTCAAGAAGAAAGTCATTCATTACTCAGTATTTCATAGATTCGCACAAGTTGGAGGACGTCGATTCGATCACAGATTTAGACGTTCTATTTGACCATAGCATACGTTTTAACTTGCATATTGAGCGCTCGATTAGTAAAGCTAGGTCCGCGCTTGGTTTTATAAAAAGGTGGGCCAAAGAGCTTGATGATCCCTACATTACGAAAAGGCTGTACATGTGTTTGGTTAGACCCATACTCGAGTATGCCTAAGTCGTGTGGTCTCCTTCATATAGGTGCTACGTAGATTCGATTGAATCTGTTCAAAAGCAATTCTTGCTGTTTGCCCTTAGAAATTTGGGTTGGGATCCGATTGCCTCTCTTCCTCCGTATGAAAATAGGTTGCTTCTGCTGTCCCTACCGTCTCTTGAGAAACGTAGGTTTGTTCTTGGCGTTTCCTTTCTAATTAAAGTAATAAACGGTGCCATTGACTTGCCTTCATTACTTGGTGAAATAAGCTTTAATGTCCCTAACCGCTTCTCTAGATACTTTATCTTGGTTAAGCTTAGTCAGCGTAAATTTAATTATGAGCTGTTCAATCCGCTCAGAGTCGTTTGCAAGAACCTAAATGACATCTACCACTTATTCTCGTTATCGGACTCTTTAAAGTCCATTAAAGCAACATTGCTTAATACGCGCAATTTACCTATGTCGTATTTACACTAGCTTTTATCCTTAAAAAATCGTTACCTTTCGAAAATGAATTATTGTCAATTTATTATCGGTTGCCAGGCTTATGCATGTTTGCGATGGCTTAGGGGTTCATTTGCAATTTCGTCCCGTACCGGTTGTAAGTGTGGCCCTGTGCTAATAGTGTACATGCTTTTTTTTTTCTTTTTTATTCTTCTTATTTGTTTTATTATACTTATACTAAATTTTATTATTAATTAATATAAGTTTTGCATTAAGAGCCAATTGAACTCAACTGTTATTTGTTTAGTTGAGTTTCTAGTATAAGTAGAATAAATAAATAAATAAATAAATAAATACGTATAAATATACGTTCGTGTATACCATACTTAAAGGTATTAAAAAGAACATGTCAAGTTTAAAAATTGTTTGGTGCAGCGAGGAATTTTTATCAATATTTTACATTTATCAATATCCATATATAATTTAGACGACGGTGTTGAAGTTTCAATAGATATCTCCTAATTAAGGCGATTCGGTGTAAAAATAATATTCTACAACATTTGCAGTTAACATTTTTATTTATCGTTAAATTTATTATTATATTATTATAAATACAAAATACTCATAAATGTAAAGAAATATATATAAATTTATATGAAAAACTTATCACGGATAATGTGATTTGTTTTATTTCTTTGTTTTGTTAATCCATTTACACACAGGATGACCTTGCTCTTTCTCATTTATTGCTATATTCATCCAAAATGAACAATAGTAGAGAGAACAATAGCGAGTTTTATCGTTTGTAAACCAGCTCCTAGCGCTCCGTTAATTTCCTTCCGCCCGTAAGTGACAGCTAGAAGTGGTTGGAGAATACTTTTGTATAGAATGCATTTATTTCTCAACTTAAATTGAGATTATGGACGAATAACCCAATAGAGTCTTTAATTTTTTAAGTCAAGTTGGCAGCGTTTAGATTTTAGATGATTTTTTCATGTTGATCTTTGGCCAATATATAAGTCAAGTTATTTTACACAGTCGTTGATCGAGATGTTATTACCATTTAAAAATAACGAAGAACAAGAAATGCCATATTTTGCGTAAACGTAACGTACATATATTTTTCACCCTGTATTTTAATATTTCATTTGTTCAACCAAAGAGAAATTTTTTAGAGATTGAATTTGTAGTTCATACGAAGTATTCATAGCATCAATAAATGAAAACAGTATGGCTGTGTCGTTAACGTATGTCGCAGTTAACATATTATCAGCGTTCGGACGACACACTTCATTCGGGCACTACAACTTTAATTTTATATATATTGAATCTATCATTTTTAAATTCAACAAAGAAATGTATATTTTGCGAATAGCTTTAAAACAGCAAATACAGAGGCGTGGAAAGAAATTTTTTAAACCTGAACGTAACCCATCTCGCCAAATTTTACCGAAGATCTTTTCCTTATCTACGAATACACCAACGCAGTATTAGACATTGCCCAATGGTAACTTGTTCATTCCTAAAGCCGAGCTACTTGCCAAGAAATAACAAGTTTTTGGACTGAGGGAACTGGGCGTAGTCTTCGTAAATATATTTTCCCAAATACTTCAGAAAAACCCCTACATCTAATTGCAAATACATGAAATTGGCAACCAACATATAAAGTAATGTAAAAACAGGGTAGTAAAAGGAAAAGAGACAGTGAAAATCGGTTTAATTATGTACGAAAACATTTTCGTGAAAAATCTTTTTTAATATTAAACAAATAATTAAAAAAATTTTGTATATTCCATAGTTCGCAAATTGTGATAAAAATTTTATTTTTCTCCATAGGAAGCACGTGAAACCCTTCGTATTAACGCGAGATAATATTTTTTTTTATCAGCAAAGTGAAAATTTTTTTACAGACAACAACAAATTACTTACCGTACACATACACAAGAAGAAGAACAAGAATGAAAAAGTAAATTGCGCGAAAATATCATACACAGAAGCTAATCGGTGGAAAAGATAGACGGATGAATGAATACAGGTCTCAAAGTTTGATAAGAAAAGAAACAAAGAACCAATTGAACATAACATATATTCGTGAATGAGTGTTAATTTTTAAGTGGAAGGTGATATAAAAGCAACCGGGCGGACTTGAATTCGGTTGTTTGGATGCTGTTTATCACTTTAGGAACTTAAAAAATGGTAAGACTTTTTTGGAAATGGTAAGACTTTAACGGATTCCATGCGAGCCACAATAGGGGTACATTTTAATACTTTGTTACATTACCGTTTGTCAAAGTTTGGGGTTTTAATAGCTAAACTTGTAACCTAATAATAATGATTTATTCGCTCGTTTTCTCCGTCAATTTAAATTGATATTGTTTTTATTTACTTTTAATTGCAGACACTGCCCAAAACGTTTACAATAACTTCTAAAGAATTTAATAATTTTGATACCATGTCTTTTGAGGTAGTTTCGATTGCACACAATATTAACAACCATAACAATAACAGTCACGCTCAAGGACAACATCAGCGACATCAACACCAACAACAACAACAACATCGACTGCAAACAACAAACACGATTAATGCCCGAGGAAACATAACATTGCCCTTGATGAATGCAGATCATACTGAGGGAATTTTTAATGCCGAGATACACGAAAATATTGATTCAGCTGCAGGCACGGTGGCAATCGTACCATCTTCTCCCAACAATGAAGTGTTGGTGGAGTGTGTTATGCCTGGTATATATTTATCAAAGAATTTTATACACTGGCAAGCAGAACAATTAAGTGCTTACAGTTTTACGCACATCATAATCATTGATAAGCATATACAAGAATTATATTATCCGAATCAACAACCGTCGATCTTCAAATTATGTCAGCGAACAGCCCGTCATGAAAACAATAACGATACTCGTACCGGTGGTATTAGTGACGCACAGCAACAAGCATTTGATTGTTTTTGTCCTTTGTCTACGTCGTTGAGGAAGAGTTTGAGCTTTGGTCAGGAATTTGAAGTTATCGATTTGAATTTCGGCGAAAAATCCTATCTGACAACCGTCCTACCGAATTGCTATCGAGCTGTAAAATTCATTAACAAAGCTTTGCAAGTTGGCGGTACAATATTGGTGATCGACTGTAATGGTGGGGAGCAAAAATGTCTAACTATAATTGTCGCTTATCTCATGTATAAATACAATATTAATTTTAGGTAAGAAGTCATAACATATATGTCGTCAACTTAATTTATAATCGATTACTTATCCCTGTTATATTTTGGAACATTTTATGAGAAATTTATACGAATTTACTTCTTATTTATTTCTATAAGTTTATACACTGGCAATTCTGGATAACTAAAAGAGGTCAAATAAACATTGAATTATTCATATTGTAATAGCACTCGGTTTTACCAATCGAAATTTTTCAAATGTTATATCATGTCTCTCGTTTAAGGAAAACACTTAATTTGATTCGATTTTAATGTAACAGTCTGTGGTTCTCTATAAAATTTGTAGATAACTAATCTTATTTTTTTTAAAGATCTCCATTACAAGTTTACGAAGAATATGTTGTGATTTTCGTTAAAAACTTTGGGGACATTGTTCGTGATATAAACATTTGTTCGTTTGGCTGTGTTTCAATCATGACTATCATGAAAACTGAAATGGAAACCAATAATTAAGGTCAAGACCAAATTGTGGGATAAATATAGCGGTAATATAAACTAAAGCAAAAACTATCAATTTAAAGTTGTAAGTAGGACTACAACATATAGGTCATGCGCTCAAAATAACGCATAAAAAAGTCAATTATATTCAATATTGTACATATATTAGGTGTAGAAATTAATCTTGGCCGGTTTTCCTGAGTGCCGATTTTTATGCGGACTTTGGTCAAGTTGTGATTTCTCCTTTTGAAATTTGGTGCTTTAAGCCTTGAGTTCTATACTAAAAAAAAAAGGTCAAACGCGGGAAGCGTTAATTTTCCTGCTTAATACAAAAGGGATCTATTATACATCGGATCATCATACATCGGATCATGATGTATGATAATCAATAGGTACGTTGCGAGCCAAATAATTGTAATGCGAAATTGTTGACATCGTCGGTAAAACTATATATTCACTTTTATACTTTAAGTATTCCCTTTCAGTGATTCAGTTGATTATGTTCTATTATGGGTTTGTCCCAGCAAGTACAAAGAACCATTAATAGGGAATATTACATGCTACCATTGATGCAATTTATCCAAAGATGTTTATAATATCATGATTTTTGAGCATAATCACGTTCGATTCCATATGCGAAAAATTCATCTATTAAGCTGGAATTTGCTATTCACCTCGGGGCATTCATGGATTCCTACTACGTCTAATTAACGCTGGGTTCAGTCGACGACTTATTGTCCGTGTCAGCGGCATATATTTTATTGCTACGGCAAAGCATGGACGATCTCAGAGCGCGATGTTGACAGAAAGATATTGAAAATTGTGACTACCGGTGGCCAATATTTTGAATAAAATACATCTTACCGTTCCCTCGAAATAAGCGGCCGTTTTTCATAAAGAAGAAGAAAAGTAAAACTAAGGAACTGCTTGTACAGCTGATGTATTCCTAATCGCATGCATATTCGTTTTGTTTATTGCGAGATGTGTTCAAAAGTCCTTTAAGAATATTTTTAAAAAAGTTATTACATACAATTTACATTTGGATTTGGATTAAGCCAAATTTTTCAATCTTTTTCTCATATTAATAAATGAAATTTTTTTTTATTTTTTTCAGTAATGCTTTTGCCCGCCTTAAAATATGTTACAAAAAGGCTGATTTGGATCGTTTTTACATAAGTCAACTGTACGAATATGAACCAATATTACAAGTCCAGCGTGCACAATCTCGTGGTCACAGTTGCTCTAGGGAATTACATGCTGCCATATTGAAACGTAAGAAGAGCCACGACGATGATGATGATGATAATGTAACAGCAACAGCAACAACAACGACATCAACAATATCATCCACTCCAGAGTCCATGAATTTAGAACATAATGCCTCAACTTCGGAATTGTTGGATAATTTAAATCCTTTAAATCAATTCAATACTGCACAAATGGAGAACCAAGTGGTAACAAGAACTATAGATCGTATCAGGAATGCAGACATTGATAAACATTATGAAATGACTGAAAGAAATTCTGTAACAGCTGTGACATCAATTACAGATGGCGGTGATAATGTTTGGTATAATTGGGATGATTATGCTATGGAGTGATGCTTGGAGTTAACTATGAATCCGAGAAATATGAAATGATTTAAGAATGTTTTTATATTCTGTTCACTACACAAAATACATTTTAAGAAAAAAGGAGATAACATACATAATTACCACATACTCCTCATACATAGACAGTAATTAGTTAAGTATGATATCTTCTATACGTACGTATATTGCTATTCTTTTTTTTTCATTCTTTTTGCTTTTGAAATATTATATTTTGTGTTTTTTTATTTATTTTATATCGGATTAAGTTTCGCTGGAATACATAAAACGAAAGTGAATTGTAATTTTTAATTATTGTCTTTTAACTCTAAGGCACAACGCAAATTTTAAAGAAAATCATTAGAGAAGCGTTTAGTTTAGACCAAACATATTCATATTCGTTTTCCTTTTCTATTAAAAGTATTTCGAGATTAATGGCAACAGTTTTCACTAAAAATATATAAAAGTAAAATAAATGAAACGTGATGTACAAGAAGCGTAGGTTTCTGTTGTTTGTAACATAACATTGTACCATAATATAAATTACACTAATTCCTGCGCAAAAATATACGAACGAGCATATGTGAATTTAATATAAGAGGTTTGTTTTCTTTTTTAACAAAAAAAAAAAAAAGAAATGAAACGTGCAGTTACATCAGTTGTTAATGTTAAATATAAACGGAAAACGGAAGAATAATTTAAAGTAGATCTTCAAATGTATTCAGTCCATCGTGCGTCGAAGAGTTAAAAGTTTATATATATGTATGTTATATTTTTAAGTGTTTTTTTCTTTTTTATAAAAACAAAAAACAAATTAAATATTATCTTTTATTAATTTCGATGCAATTTTGTTTTAAAACTAATAGAATATTCCTTTGCACGTTTGGTGATCTGTGCCACCCCAAGGCATCAGATTATATAGTTACAGCGCTTTTTTACATCATCCAAGATGAGTTTTTCGACATCGTGCTTAAGTTTATGCATACACACATGTACAATAGATTCATAAAATATATCCATGAAAAATTTTATTTTAAACCATTTTCTTAATTCTGTAAAAAATGCTTTTAAACACTTTCAAGCTCGGATAGCTTACATTATTTTTTATATGTTTAAAAAGCCTTTATCGAAGGAATTGTAGAAAGTAGATTACATGGCACACGACATAATTATGGTTTCGAAAAGACGACTTATTCTGTCATACACTTAATCAAGCAACCCAAGGAGGTATGACGTATGGAGAATAACGTCTTGATAAAACTTACGTAGAAAAAGGCCGGCAATTTTTGATCTGGCAAAACTTATTGTCATCTGCTCCGAAATCTCTAACCGGAATGAACATTGATTACATATAACATTGGGAAGCATATACATTATCGACAAGCCGAATAGGAAGGTCCATATCTTTCTTCAAAATCAAAAAAAGAAAGTAAAAACGTTACAGTCTAGCAAGATGGACCATTAATTGACTTATACCATTTCACTTAATCGAATTCTTAATCTGACCTCGTCATTCGGAGTCATATGGCTCTTGTTAATCTGTTTCTCTCATCAATTGTGACAAACTCGTGTGTCATTGTGATGGTAACCACCGTAAACCTAATATGGAAACGGGTAACATTTTCGTAAGAATTCTTTTTGGCGTTCAAAATGAGAAGCCACTTCGAGTAAATTTAATAATGTTAATTCTCTCGTCAAACAATTTATTATTTCTCACCCAATTTAGTGATAGAATATTAAAAATTAGAGCCTTTTTTGATCTATAAAGGCTTACTTTTCATGGGAAGTCTTATAAGAGAATGTCACCGGAATATGGATGTATTTAGTTCAAATTTACTACAGTATATTAAGACCTTAGATGATTATGTTATAACAGCTTTCATCAAAAAAAAAAAAAAGAGAGGTGGCCATAGAAAACTGTCCAATCCCATCCATTCGGACAGTGAGTAATAACGCTCAAGTGTTAAGAGCGGGCGTATGAGGATATATAAAAATAAATTACAAAATCTGCTATAATGCTTATGCTCCGATGCATGAAAACTTATTATTGCAAAACTTAGATAGACATCCGCATTTAGGACGCAGAATTTACTGTAATCGTTTGTTAATGGAATTAAGAAGTACTTATTTCATATATTGTAAAAAACATTTTGGCTCAAAATATTTTCCATTGCTAGCCACTGCATTTACTATCTTTCCGACCGAATACTGATTCCGTACCAACAGAACAACTGATTTTCTAAAATTCTCCACGGAAAGATACTTCTTGGATTTATTGTCATTACAATCCAAATGTTCTTCAAACAAACAAAAAGCCTTCGACTCAAATTTGTGTCATTCAGAATGATAGGAGGAAGGGTAGCACATTATGGTTTAACCCTGCTAATGCCAATGGTCTAGTTTTTAACACTTGGAGCCGAGTGGTAATTGCGCCATCATGACCTTCGGCTTGTTGCACCAATTTCCCTGTGCAATTACGTTCATTGTCGTTTATAGCGTTTCTTTGTGATGGTTTCGCTTGGTTTGAGTAATCTTTAATAGATGAGATTCATTTGATGCTAATAAACGGAACCCTTATAGTTATTTGGTCTTAATTTTGATATTATAGCCATCATGGTATTTTGCACTTGTATCATGGTCACATTCCTTTAAATTGAGCCAGTAAAGTAACACTTTTAAAATCGCAAAAAGTGTGCTGCGTACACTTATCTGCAGGATATTCATATAGCATTTTCTTAGCTATTGGGGAAGTAGTTTTAGCCTAATTCGGTTTGAAGGTAAGACGTTTCTATGGAAAGTTTCAGTATATTGTCAATTTTGTGTGTGTATCTATGTTTCTAAAGCAGATACATTTTCTCTAAAAAGCGAAAGACGGGCATATGAAGCAGTAATAAATGTGGGCGCTTTGTTTTGTAACGATTGAATATATAGAGCACTTTCCACATATTTATGTTCGAAGGTCCATATGCGTTCCACACCTAAGGTATTATTGAGAACGAAAATGAAAATCAAACATGGACACATAGTAAGCCTTAAATCAAGTTTGACAAGAAAAAATGAGAAAGTTATACCGACAACTGAGCTGAAACTTCTTACACATATGTTTCAGTGTCTTCAGTTTATATATTTCTTTCTCTCTCAACTTTCTTTCTCTCATTTAACTTTGTGTATAATAGTCAAAATATAGAAGATCAAATAATAGTATCAATTAATTTTTCAATTTATTCCATAATTGTTTTTTAATTTAATCTCATGACCTTATCTCCTTACATACTCTCAGACCACAGACCAATATTACAAATATCGCAATACTCGGTAAAAGGGAAAAGGGAATTTTTTAAATAATTTTATTGTATCTTTGCTGGTATTTCAACACACACGATGTCCTCATCATGTTCATCCTTTAATTCCCACTTAACTATAACGTTTACTTTCGGATACGCTTTCAGAACAGGCAACACGGCTGTATACACATAGATTTCCGTTTTCGATAGCGGACATATAAGGCCGCTACCAACACAAGCATCGGGATTCTGCAAATTGAATGGCATCTCCACACCCATCACTTTACCATGAACGACAGTCTTAACAGCGTTCACATTTTCAGCTAAAAATGATTAAAGCAATAAATTAGTTGTACAAATAAATGCACTTTCAATAAAAATGTGTTAGCAAATCATAACACCTACCCAGTGTGAAATCAATAATTATGGTAACATTTGAGTCGCGCTTCAAAATGCATTCATGTTTGGTCGTATCACAATCCGATATATAAACGCTGGTAAATTTGCCAGTTTTAGAACCTATAATGGTAGGTAAGTAAGTGTGTAAGGTTAAAGAATACAGTTTTTCAAAAACAATCTTTTAAACAAAATGAAACAATTTTTGAAAGCAAAAATCAAAAAAAAAAAAAAAATGCTTCTAAAGCATTTATTGTAGAATTTTATTACGCAATTTGGCCGAAAATGTAGTCATCGAAAATTTTATTAATATTTCTTTTTTGCACTCGTTATAGCCACATTGCATACAATTGCAATTATTATACCCATCATTCATATATTCATTTTGTTAAAACGTTTGTAACGCCCAAAAGGAACCTTCAGAGACCCCATAGAGTATATATGTATGTATCAGCATCAAATTCTGAATCGATTTATGCATGTCAGGCTGTCCGGCTGCCCAGTTGTTTGAGTGGTCGTCCGTCCGTCTGTATATGTCTTCTGTGAATGTTGCCATGGCCGCAAAAATGAAGCTTTTGAGTTCAAATTTGACAAAAACATTGGAAGTTCTATCACGCATTCGTGTTGAAAATGGCCCAAATCGGTGGATGTACTACGTAAAGTGAGGACACCTTCATTTCTTTAAAAGGAATAAAAAATTGTTTTTTTTCATGGTTAGTTATAAAATACAGCAGATAAATCTTCACAAATATGAGCGTATACTGGCCCATGCTGTAGCATCCATCCAAAAGTGGGAAAAATTTGGATGCACCTAAACATATTCGTTTGTTCGTATTTGTGGTAAATATTCTCCGGTTAGGGAAAATAAATACATCGCTTACAAATTTTCAAAAGAATTTGGAAGGGACCTAAACTCAAAGGACACGCCTACAAGGCCGCACGTCAAAGTGACACAAACTTTTATTTTGAAAATAGAAAACATCAGCCACGCCCACGCCATATTATAGGGCATGAACATTTTTTTTTTTTCACTTTTTTTTATCCTTTTTAGGTTAACGATGATGGGTATAAAAGATTCGGTCACGACTGAATATTATTTTCCTTATTTGATTCCTTTCATATATAATAGTCTTCCTTAGGATAACGGCGATGAGTATAAAAGCTTCAACCATGACCGAATATAATTTTCTTACTTGTTTTAGTTAAAATTAAATAAATGAAATTAAAAAAAAATTACAAAATTTTTATTCTCTTCGTTGCGCATCGTGAGTAACCAGCATTTTCATATATATTTATAACTTTTTTATGAATAGTGAACGGATCAGCTGATAAATCGTGCCGCATTTCCCAGTCTTACTAAGGATTTGCGCTAAAGTTTAAATTGATCTTTTCTATAGCTTTCCTAGTTTTTCACAGTAATGTTTATATTAATAACTTTTATTTTCTGCTTCCTTTTTTTTCTATATTGTAAATACGACTGAGATCGGATTGCACCTATTTCTATTCAGTAGTACTGCTGTAGCTTAACAATGAAGAACATATTGGTATACCAAGCGCCAGGAAAGCAACGGAAAGAGGGTTCTGATTAAGTCTACACGCGATCCGTCTAATATTTATCCAAAATGTGAATATACTTTAGTACGTGTCGTCTTTAATGTTTACATTGTTTACATGTTACTGTCAGATAATGTTTGGTGGGTTTTCGAATTAAGACCAAATAAGACAAATAATGTGTAACCGTGGCTTGGTTGAAATAACCTTCGAGATCATTTCAGTTTTGTAATGATTTTCGGCATTGTTATCAATCTATCTATGTTTCTTAAGCAAAAATAGTGAAAATCAAACGATTTATAATCTCCTATTAATCAAAATTATATTTTAATAGATTTTGTACATAATATATTTTTAATGAATGTGTAATTTGGAGCTTTGCTAACGGAACAACGAGGGAAAATAAGTAAGAAAATTATGTTCGGTCGTGATCAAATCTTTTACACCCATCATCGTTCTTCTAAGAGGATCTAAAAAAAACTAGATTTTGATACTCTATAATATTGGGAGGCCGCGGGTAATTTTTTCTAATTTCAGAATAAAATGGGAGATATTTACATTTGTTGTACTTATAAGTTGACGTTGTAGGCGTGTTCTTTGACCAGTTTGGGTCATTCTCAAATTCTTTCGCAAGATGAACATGCTTAGGTGCATTCCGAATTTGAAATTGGTCAAGAATTTATATGCTTTATTGAGTTTTTGAAGCATGATTCTGCGCATTAAGACGGTACTGCAGAAGAAATTAAATTTTGATACACTATGACATTGGGTAGAAGTATCAACTTTTCCTCTTTTTAATACAAGTACTATAACAACACTCATAGAATATACGTGCATTTATTCGCTGTAGTTAAAGAGTAATAAAAAAAAGTTTTTAATTCCGTTTGCAAAACAGATGCTTTTACTTTACGTAGTAAAGTAGGCGTGTTCTTCGACCGACTTGGCCCATTTTCAATACCAACATGCGTACAAGAGCTTCTTCAGGAGATATTACATAGATAGACAGATGGACATGCTTTAATCGATTCAGAATTTAATGCTGATCAAGAATATGTATACTCTATGGGGTATATGAAACTTTTTTCTGGGCATTGCTAACGTTTTGATAAAATGAATATACCTCCTACCCTGCGGCGATGGATATAAAAATAGTATACATATGCGTGTATACAGATATTTACTAAGATATCATTTAACTATCTTTTCATAGTCGGATCGGCCATAGCTGTTCTGTTGCGTCATTTATTAAACGAAATATATACAAATATATATATATATATTCAGTGCAGTCTAAGACATCTGACGCTGAGACAATTCACCCCTACGTCCATATTTTGCCACGTGCGCGTAACTTCCAATCGCATTTGGCCATTGTATTTGTCGTATTAGAAATTTTATCATTAAATTTGATAATCTCTCCTTTTTTTGCTTTCGTTAATTTGCAGTAAGCGTAAATAGTCGCCAGAGTATATATACGAACGACTATTTTGTGGTTCCTGTCATTAACACTTATTCATGAATTTCATTCGAAAAGAAGGAAAACATTTCTGAAGTTAGTTTTTTTTTTCAATTTCTTCTCCGAAAAAATACGCTTCTCTATATTTTATTTATATATATATGTTTTTCTAAATAAAAGCCTATTCTTAATTAATTTTAATTGGATTAAATTGAAAAATCCCATTACATACTAAAAACGTAATTGTCCAGAGGGTGGTGTGGTGCACACATGTGTAAGTTTTGAATTAAAGCAAAATTAAGTTTTGGAGAAAAGACGTTAATTGTTTTATTTATTTTTATTTTTTTCTTCTTGTTTGCTTTAATTTAATTACATAAATAAATATATATATTTATATATTTACCGCAATCTGTAAATTGCAAGCCATTTACCGTGCAATTTACTAAATATCCCCATATTAGAATAAAAAATACAAATTGTTTCATTTTAAATGGAATTCTTCCTTAGTCTTGATTTCTTATCTCTGCTCTCTTAAATTACCACCAATCACTATGATAACTATGACCGCAACGTATGACGGCGCGCTACTGAATGAATTCTTGCTGAGGAGTCTATTCGAATAGAGCACATACGCTTTTTTCGTTATGTGTGGAAAACCGAGGACGAGATAATTTCGTATAAAAATTCACATTCGCATGCAGGCAAACAAAGCACACAAAGCCTCGAGCATAGCTGAGAACAATAATAAAGCAAACAAAATTTTCTCTGAGTAAAAAAATACCGAAAATGTGAAAAAAAAACAAAATCAAGCATTGATATTAGAATCCAATCAAGTGTAAGTGCTCACGATTTTGGCGAACAAATTTCGTTTTGTAGTGACATTCATGCACTATGCACTTTCGCTTGCTTCGCGTGTCTAACTCCAATATCCAGTATAAAAATAAATAAATTAAAATAAAGGTATATTATGAAAAGAAACAAAAGGTAAAAAAGAAGATGGACTATTAAGAGTAGAAATCTTCGAGGAGGATTTGCAGGAAAAGGGAAATCTGCTTCATAAATGTTCGTCAAATCCATTTGCAGGCTTGATTCAAAAATGATACCGATAGGTTTGCTAATACGCCCACAGTTAACGATTAAATTTCAATTCCAATTTGCTTCCAATTTATTTCTAATTTATTTGCAATCGGATGGAAAACATGCTAATGTATGTAAGAATAAATGGGAAATGAATTGGATATAAATTGGAATTAAAATTTTATTTCCAATTGTGACCGTGCTAATATGACGATCGGGAATATCTTTGGGCTGACAATGAAGGTAGTCCTGACACACATTTGAGTCATAGGTTTTAAGAAATATCTTCACGGAATCAATGTCGGAAAGATGTTGGCGTTTTCCGGTGTTTCAGTTTCTTCGACATTGTGGACGAGCATAACAAGGGAGCACACCCAGTTTTTAACCTCATATTCTCAATGGGTAATACCTATCCCAAATTTCAAATTTCCAGCTTCCCTTCTCGACCGTGATAAGTCGACAAAAGTAGGGGATAAAAATGATCCATTTTTTTAGAAATAGGTATAGGACATCAGCACCTCGAAGAGTAGACCAGCTATGAAAAAATGATTGTAAGCGCTTAAAGGTCTTTTCATGTAAATAAAGGTTTCCGAAAAATCTTCAAACATTACATGCCTTATAAGCGTAATTTTGAAGATCGAACATTAAAATGAATCAAAATGACATGCTCGGTAGTTAGTTTAGTGTTAGACACTAAATAAAAGAAATAGGAAATGTAGGAAAAGCAAATGTCATGCGTTATGTTATTTGAGCTCACTTAACTTCTTTGCCTGATAAAAAATTAATGCAAAAAAAGAAAAAGAGGGAAAGTTTTAATTTATATCTTTATAAAGCGCAGAAACAAGTTTTAAAAAATCCATAAACTATATAAATTCTTGACCAGTCTCAAACACGGAATGCATCTAGGCATGTCCGCCTGTCCGTCTGGCCAACTCTGTAGTGTCTGTGATAAACATTCTCCCGTTCGCAAAAAATGCAGATATCGCCTACAAACTTGCAAAAGAATTTGAGAATGACCCAAACCGGTCAAAAAACAGGACTACAACTTCGATACACCCATACGACAAAAACTGAGAGCAACTTTGCTTCCGTATTTTTGGCTTCTTACTCATAATCTACAACAGACACACAATGCAAATTTTTACAGAATTATTTTAGAAGAATACCAGTAATCATCCACGCCCAATTTTATGGAATACGCATTATATTTTTTCTTTTTTCCAATCTTTTATAGGATAAGAATGATGGGTATAAAAGATTCGGTCGTAATCGAATATAATTTTTTACTTGTTTTTTCTTCTTTTTGTTTATTCGCTAATTTAATTAATACTCTGCTCTGCAGTTTTTTTTTTTCTAAGCGGACGCCTGTTTTTTACTTAAGCGTATTATTCAGTCGATGTAAGATAAAGAGAGCTCTTCTGATTCTCTTCTAATTCTAATTGTTGTTGCTTATGTTTACAAAGTCATATATAATTTTTTTTATTTTTTCCCTTTTGCAATTATTATATGTTTTTTATATTGGAACACAATATTTTTTCTCACATATAAATGTTGCTTTCATTACCAATTGGTAGTCCATATGATTTTAATACCTTATCTTATATATATTTGTAGTACAGGGTATATTAACCAGTTAATTGCGTGCTATGTGTATATACTTCAATACAATTATTCATATGGTTGCGTTAACATCATATAAAATTCAAAATTACGAATCGATATAAAAACCCAAAGTTTCAGTACGATGTACTTTTCACATCTCATTTAGTATATTACCTTAGACATCTGATATAATTTAAAAAAAATTTCGTTGAATTCGCCGAAAAATGTATAGCAAGGCAACTGGAAGTAGTCTTCGATTATAGTAAGAATATGGCGTGGACGACAACTGTGCACGAATTACATGATATCCACTTACAAGGCAATAGGTAAGCAAGTATTGTGAGGAAATATCTTTTCACTTCATATACATGATGTGCTTGTGAACTCTTACATATTCAAAAAAAAGAAAATAGAAATTTATTTTCTTTTTATTTTCCGTATTTCAGAACTGTCTTATTATTATTAAGAGTACATTTGTCAACAATGAATTGTACCCTACGCCAGTTGTGATAAAAGGATATATTAAATTCGTGCGGGTATACAACTCCTAGAAGGACTTGACTTTAACCTTAAACTTTTGTTATAAAGATCAATTCAAAGTGGATCTAAGCTTGTCTGTTCGTCGAATTTTTCTGTGTTCAGTCTACATGTTGCAATTTTTGACATATATTGATGAAATTTTGTACACTGATGTTTATCGGTCCAAAAGCAAACGCTAATGGAAATAGTTCGAACCGGCCCATTTTTTTGACCACGTCCTGTATAACGCCTTATTTTGTAAAATTGTCATATGAACGGGGTGGTACAGGATATTTAATAGTGAGTCGCGGCTTGTCGGAGTGTTTTACTTGTTGTTTTAATCAATACAATTCTTAAAAAAATATTTTTCTTTTGAAAAAGCCGTTTTAGAAAGCGGAAGCCATTAGCTATTGTACGACTAATAGAAACATTTATAATAAGGTAAAAAACCCACAAAGAAAATGAAAAAGCTAAGGGAAAACTAATTTTTACGACAACTGCGGGATTTTTTGGGGTAATTGGGCATGTAAACGGAACACATTTTCATATTTTCTCACTAGAATCAAAAAAGATTCTATTAGAATGTACCGATACTATTAACAAATTTTCCCAAGGGAAAAGATTACAGCCAAACGAGCCCCTTTTTTATCCGTCAAGTCGTATAGTTGCCCCTCCTCCTGCAAGCGTGTAGGCAGTCCGTGAGCATTCATCTCGGTGGCTAACTGTTCAGTTTCTTCTTTTAACCGCAATTTATTGGAGTCATTTTAATAAAAAAAAGTGTTTATTTTTATATAACCTCTTTATATTAGAACTTTTACAAAAGGTAACCGGTTGTAAGTATTTATGCAAAAAAAAAAAACGAAAAGTTACACAATGTTACAAAGTTAAATAAAACAAGTAAGAATATTAAATACCCTACACCACATTGTCTAACAAAATTCTTATTTTTTTATAGAGCACAAAAATTCTAGTTTGTTTCTATATAAAGACGTACTTTTCAAGTGCGGAATCGGGGAGATAGTACAGGTTTACATAGGGCAGGATGCAAAAATAGGAGTAGATGGTCCAAGTCTGCAGAGTTCAATTCTGTTTGAAATTACTAATATGGGTCAATTTTCCTCACTTAGACTTGTTTGCTCTACAAAGGGTCAATTTTCGTGGAAGTTCTTATTAGAGCAGGATCCAATAAATAAGTCGAGATGGTCCAAATTTGGTACAGTTAATTTTTGTATATTAAATTACTATTATGATATAATATGGCGGTACCAAATTTTATCGAAATATCTCCAAAATTGCGAATTGTAGTTTGAACACAAATTTACATGGGCAGACAGGCTTAGAACAATTCAGATTGTGATTCTGAATCAATATAGAAAAATGGGGTTTTATCTTAAGCCCTTCTCTGTGTTACATACGTTCGCAGCAACTTAATATACCATAAGTGGTGTACAAAAAGTATACTACTAGTTTTCAATACTTTCCCAAACTCTTGGAAGTTAACCCGAGAGGAACTCTCGAATGGCTAGAAATTTTGGAATTCATAATGTTTTTGTTTGTAATTAGCTTCCTACTACGTTCTTGTGCCAACAGCTTACGGCGGGCATGGCAATGGTCAAGTTATATATGCATTGGAGCCAATGGGGTTGGTAAATTGGTGTTTATGGATGGCATTCTAAACAATGGGCGTTTTTTTAGTATATATAAGGAAAATTTGAAAGAAAGTAGGGACAAACTTGGTATTTTGGAAACATTCAAATTCTATCAAGATAAGGACCTTAAGCATAAGTCCCGCTTAATTCAAGAATGGCTCTTATATAACTACCTCAAACTGCTTCAACCTCCTCCCCAATTACCAGCCGTGAACCCCATGAAAACTATGATGGAATGAATTGAACCGCCGCGTACGAAAACCCTCAGTCTCTTCCGTCCAATGTGTGATAATAGGTTAATATAAAAATGAAGTTAGATCCCTATTTCATACACAAGAAAAATTATACAAAATATGTCGAAACTTTTCAATGACGGTATTAAGCAAAAAGGATGCCCCACCGAATATTAATTTTTAATAATATGTTGTTTTTCATCTTCGTATCCCTCTTTATATGAGAAAAACCTAATATTAATGAGACTCACTCTACGTGTAAGCTGCAGATCCTTTTTGCTTATCTGAAATAAAGGTTTAGAAGCATCTCGTAAATATTTCCAAACCATTTGCATATTAAAAATTTTTCGATCACAAAAACTTTGAACATCTCTTTGAATTGCTCTTCGAAGATTATTAACAACGTATTTCATTGTCTCTGATTACTCTGTCTTCCTTAAATCGAATGGCGACT